TTTTGCAGCACTGTCATCTCGTTGACCTCTTGTGGAGGCGCCATCGGAACGATCATCACCTCGGCTCTGTCCGGCTATCTGGCGAAGCACGGCTTTGCCGGCGGCTGGCCGTCGGTCTTCTACGTTTCCGGGGCGATTTGCATCGCAATTGGCATTCTTTATTTTATTTTAATTCGAAACGACCCCAAGGAGCACCCGCTCGTTTCGGAGGCGGAGTACGAGTACATTGTGGAGCACATCGGTGCGCTAAGAGAAAAGCGGGATCAGGCGAAGCTGGAAAATCGGGAAAATCAGCTGGAGAACTCGAAGCCAAAGCCGCCGCCCCCTTTTCCCTGGATCAAGGTGCTCACCTCGCCGCCCATCATCGGCCAGGTCTGCGTGAAGATCACCCTCACCTGGGCTTACTCTCTGGTAATCCTCAAAGCGCCTGCCTACATGGAAAAGGTGCTGAGGATGCCGCTGGAGATGAATGGCTACTTTACCTCGGCGGCTTTTGCCTCGTTTGGATTGAGGTAAACGCTTTTAAAGCTTTTTTGTGTGTTTTTAAAAACTTTCTAATTTTTTTAATTTTAATCACTAGTCATCTGCTGGGCGGCATGGCCGCCGACTTTGTCATCAAACGGCGGTGGTTCGCCTCGAAGACGCCTGTAAGAAAAATTTTTGAAGGTCTGGCCACCTTTGGCACCTCCGCCTTTCTCCTCTTCATTCCGCTGGTCGGCTGCGATCGAGCCCTCTTTCTGCTGCTCTTCATCGCCAGCCAGGCCACCTTTGGCATGCAGGCGGGCGGGGAACTCCCACTTCCCTCGGACATGAGCCACGAGTTTACCGCCACCCTCTTCGCCATCGCCAACATGTTCGGCATGTCCACCGGTTTCATTGGGCCGTACCTGGCGGGAATCATCCTCGATATGGACGCCTCCAGGCCGAGGCGCCAGTGGTCGTACATTATCTACTTTACGGCGGCTTTCAATGTCTTGGGTGGGCTTGCTTTCACTTTACTAGCTTCTGCTGAGCCGCAGAGCTGGGGAAAAGAGCTGCCAGCAGCAACTGCTAAAAGTGGAGTTGAAGATGAAGAAGGAGGAAGTGATAAGCAAAAGAAGAAAATTGCAGTCATCGACTACAATGGAAGTCAACCGTTGAAGAGAGAGTCTTTTTAAACAGTTTTTATGTTGTTAGTTAGAAAATGTAAATAGTACAAATGAGGTGCTTGATGAGAAAAGAAGAAACTAATGAATAAGATCTGATGAATGTCAAGAAGTACGATAGTTTTTTACAATAGTTTTGAAATAAAAATAACATTAACAAGAAAAAAGTTTACTGTCAGAATTTGAAAAGGGCGTAGAGAATAAATAGTGCTCCGGCGATCTTGTTGACTGTTGGTGGAAAAAGGTGTTTTAGATTGTCAGAAAGTTGAACGCAAAAAAACTGACAGCAAAATCACTTACACTTTTTAAGGACAATGAACCTCTCAATAGATCTGGCGCCGATGATGGCAATCACATTGCAGATGAAGTAGCCCAGAAGAGAGCCCAGCGCAACGGGCCAAATTAACTAGGAATAAATCATACAATTAATTTTAAATGTTTTAGACTGTGTTTTACTAAAAAAATACTTACCTGTTTATTATTGGCCATCAAGATGGTGCTAATCTGCGTCTTGTCGCCCAGCTCGGCAAAGAAAATGAGCCAGAAGACCTGTGTGAAGATGATGATTCGCTTGTTGATGGCAATCTCCTTCTTCATGTTCTAAAATGTTTTTTTTTGGATTACCAAACAAGATGAGTTATCAAAAGTAAGCAAACAAACAGTACTGCTTTTTTACCTTCTTCTTGGCGACAATCTTCTGCGTCTTTAGGTAGTCATCCAGTGCCTCCTCCTCTGGACTAGTCTGCGAGCTGTCCCAGAGCATCTTGGTGCCGAACATTAGAAAGAGCGTCATCGAGAGGCGACTAAGGGCCCAGTAGGGAATTCGCTGCAGTTGAGATCCAAGGATGACTGGTACGATGTATAATAAGGATTTTTTTTATCAGATTTTTGTACGGTTAAAAAAGTTATGATTTTGAAAAGTAAAAACTCACTGGAGATGCAGTTCATCAGCGTCATGGCGCTCATCGAGCCGAGCAGTACGGTCCAGCGGGACTTTTGCAGCGCCATCAGCGAGGCGATGAGGAAGGTCTTGTCGCCCAGCTCGTGGCTGGTGATCAGCGAGGCGCTGGAGAGGAAGTCACTGTAGGAGAAGTTGGCGCCTGCTTCAGCAAAAAGCGGAGTTGACCGCTGAAAGAGGTTGCCGGTCATTTCTTCGGTCATTTTTGGGCTTCTTTTTGCAATAGAATTTGTGATAAAAATAGTTTCAAATCAAGTAAAATTAAAAACGCTTTTTAAAACTGGGTGATGCACAGTAGAAGATGCACAAAGCTTGCGTTCTACCCTGTCGGTGTCATTTGGCTTGTGCTGGTGGTCATCGTCATTTTAAAATAAAAACTTTGATGATGATGATTTGATGATCAATCAAACAACAAACAACAGCAAAACTACTGGCCTCACCGCGACACAGTGAGGTTCACTTCGCTTTTGCTTTTGCCCCACTCGCATCCTCGGCTTTCCTCTCATCATCACCATCATCATCCCCTTACTCATCGTCATCTTTCCTTTTTCTCTCCCCATGGCCGATGTCTTGATCTCAAGTTTCAGTGAAACTCACTGCAAAGACTAAAACAGTCTGGGGTTTTTGCACTGCTGATAAGGAAACTAAAGCGAAAGGCAGAGAAAGCGTGTACTGCAAAAGTGTCCTCTTGAGATCTCTTGAGAATGCATTTGGGTGGAGTACTCGACTTTGCTGGCTATATAAAACGGTAGTGGTAGTGTCACATTTCTCCTTTGCTTTTGCTATGACTGACTGATTTTTTGACTGCTTGCTTCTCTGTGTCCTGACATCATTTCCAGTGCCGGTGACATTGACCAACAAAAAAAGAAGTGAAATAATAAAGAAGCATTAACCTCTTTTCTGATTTTAAACTGCTAAAGTGACCGGTGTGTATTGTTTAATTTTTAGCATTTTTATCAGCAGCCAAGAAATATTATCATCAGTGCCTACCACCACCAGTGTCTGACTCGACTATCATCTTGAGCCATGTTTGTACAAAAAATAAATAGTTAGCGGATGCCATCATTTACGACATTGACGTCATCACGATCGGTTTTGTGTGCTGCACTCAACAACAGCTGCTGCTTTAAAGTATTAAAATATTGACAACGTTTTTCAGTTTGATTATTTAATTTTTACTACAGTACTTGAAAATGATGATGATGAGTGACAGTATCAATCACTTTAAAAATGTTTGTGCTATCTAAAACAGTAGTTCTTGTTTAAATCGGCAAAGGAAAAAATGGCTGATGCAAATCACAAATTAGAGTTATTAGTAACCGGTTGAAAACTCATTTTCACTGAAAAGTGCTTTGTACATTCTAAGTATGATCCATTTCGGGTTTCGGGTTCAGTTTTTTTTCAGTCGACCAGACTGCGCCTGAAACGCCACCTGTTGAAGCCAAACTGTAGCGTTGGGAAGAGTTTTAGATCATGCCGTGATTTATTCAGCATTTCTGACAACAGTTAATAAAATTGATAATTTTTGAAAGTTAAACAAAGCAATTTTAATTAATTCACTTGTGTAACTCATGTTTTCTACTAAGTTGCAGGCGGTAGAAAACATGTACGTGACGCTGATGAAGTAAAATATCTAAAATAACAAACAAAATTAGCAATTAAAAGAAAAAACATATATACAGCAATTCTACTTACTACTTTAAAAATTTTAGAGTTTACTCGCACAATGTTCAGCAGGTTGAAGCCCATTTGCAGCGTTTTTCGGTGCTGTTTCCATTTTGTCAATCTAAAATTAACTAATTTAAAAAAACTTTTACACACCTATTTGTTGTTTTAATCAATCATTTGCATGGAAAAATTTCTTGTTTTAAATTTAAATTTTGTAAAAAAATTTAAAAAGATAAATTTATACCATCTAACCTTGATTTTGACCAAATCTTGACAGTGATCATGAAAATTGTCTAGTGTAAAGTTACGCAACTTAAGTACAATAAAAAAAAATTAACATTTATTTTCATTTAAACGGCAGGTTAAAAAAGGTTCAAAACCAGTTCTCCACTTTTATCCACTTTTTCCTTATCTAAATAAATAAATGAATCTAATCAGACACAAAGTTAGTTATTGTGTGCCTGTGTTTGGCCAGACACTCTGTTTCTGTTATCTACTTCTTTTTGCAAAAAATGACCATACAGCGGTTGAAAAAAGAACCAAAGGTTGCATTGCAGTAATAGAGATGAAAAACAATGGACTTACAAAAATTAATTGAAGCTCACAAGTTTTCAAGGTCAACTTTGTAAAAAGGAAAAAACTTGCCTACTGCAGTACATTTAGGCAAAAAGTGAAAACTCCTAAACAGTGTGCATCTCTGATGTGTTAGGTTTATTAGTTGACTCATTTAAAAACTCGTGAAAATATTTTCTGAAGCATTTTCCAGTTGTTTCATTTGGCATGGCAATCCTCCAGAAACTAGATGAGCACAACATATCACCACTTTCCATCTCTGTTTTCATCTTCTGTTTGTAAAACAAAAGTCGCCGGTAATTGTTGGCGATGTTTGTCGCGTGAGCCATCTTTTGTTTAGGAGAGAGAGAGAGAGAGAGAGAAAAGAGAGAAAACGATTTAGATTGAAAGTGACAGAGAAACCAGTTTAAGCTTGAGACTAATTGGAGATAATTTGACCAGAGCAGGAGAGGCGCAGTAAAAAGAAGTACAGTGAAAAGAAGTAGCCAAAAGTAGTGAAAGTCAGTTGATTGTGCTTTAGATTGGATGAATACAATGGCTATACAACAGCTCTGTTCTGACCTTAGCCAGAGGTAAATCGGCGTCGATTTTAGCTACGAAGAGCTGCTGCTGCTGCTAATTACCGAATGCGCGCGCGCTTTTGTCAATTAAGATGACGCCTGGATAGCACTAAAAAGTAGACGATTGTCTGCTTTGAGTGTCAAAAGCTAGAGTAAGGAGCAACCGAAAAAAAGTGGAGAGTTGGAGCATCTTTGCAAGGCAGTCTTTTTGCTGGCAGTATAAAAGCGAAGATGCGTGAGAAAGTGGAAAAACTCTTGTTTTGTTGTTGCTCGCCATCTTTTCAGCAAAAATCTAAAAATGCTGTAAACAACTTTTTTCGCTTGTTTGTCTTGCTTTTTTAAATTGTGTGATACTTTGAATGAGACACCTTTTTGTGCTCTACTAAAAAGCGACACCTCATTTAACAGAAAATGATTCAAAAGGTATGCTTTTTCTTCAAAACTCCTCTCCCCACTTTAAACTTCATCTTTAAACTCCATCAACAGCTTCCCGCCATCTTCACCTCAGTACTCCTGCTGCTGCTGCTGATCACACTAGCACTGAAGTCCACTGAAGCTCGACCTCAGCACAATGACAATGGCTACGACGGCTACGACGACTACGGCCTGGAGGGCCTGGGCGGCCTGGGCGGCATGTTCGGCGGCATGGGCGCCCTCGGCGGACTGATGGGCGGCGGCGCCAAGGGCGGGCTCGACCTGAAGGCGGGCTACGCCATGAAGGATGGCCTGGGTTTTGGCGGCCTGGGCGAGATGAAGGGCGGCATCGACCTGAAGGCGGGCGCGGCCGCCGGAGGAAAGGTGGGCGGATACGGTGGCCTGGGAGGGCAGGTGGGCGGAGGACTAGGAGGAGGACTGAAAGGCTACGGACAGCTGCCCTTTGCTGGGGCTGGCTTTGGAGTTGGAGCTGGTGGTGGTGGTGGTGGTGGACTGTACGGCGGTGGAGCTGGTGGATATCCTGGTGGTGCAGGAATTGGACCTTATCAAGGCGGCATCGGACCTTATCAAGGAGGTGTTGGCGGTCAGTTTGGAGCTTACCCGCCAGGAGCTGCTGGTGGTGGTAGTGGTGGTGGTGGTGGTGGCCAGTTTGGACCCTATCCTCCGGGAGCTGTTGGCGGCCTGTACTCAGGAGGAGGAACCGGCGGTATTGGCNTGGAGCAGGAATCGGACCTTATCAAGGCGGCATCGGACCTTATCAAGGAGGGGTTGGCGGTCAGTTTGGAGCTTACCCGCCAGGAGCTGCTGGTGGTGGTAGTGGTGGTGGCCAGTTTGGACCCTATCCCCCGGGAGCTGTTGGCGGCCTGTACTCAGGAGGAGCCGCCGGTGTTGGCCCTGGCTATCCTGGTTCTGGAGCTATTGCTGGAATTGGTGGTCTCTACGGTGGTGGTGGTCCAGGAAACTTTGGACCTTATCCAAGCGGTCCTGGAATTGGAGGAAGTGGTGGTGGACTCGGTGGTCCCTATCCAGGAGGCTTCATCGGCGGTGGCCT